AAAATAAGGCACATGGAAAAGCAGAAATTATCTCCTGGATCGAAGCAGGGCTGGCTGATAATGACAATGTTTGCATTAATGGGGAGAAATCGGAATGGGGTCCCGTCACGAGCGGTGTGCCGTAAGGGTCAGTGTTGGGACCCTTGTCCATAATCTAAATAAACGACGTTGATAGGAGAATAAATAGTGACATAAGTACGTTTGCCGATGATACTAAAATGGGCCGTCAAATAATTTCCGATGTGGAGGCTTTGAAGGCTACGAGATGACCTGGATAGGTTGATGCTGTGGTCGAAGAAGTGGCAGATGCAGTTCAAGCGTAATGCTCTAATCCTCGGAACCCCTCAAGGAAGGTTCCTTGATGTTGGTGAGGGGCTCTTGATTTAGGGAATTGGATCTGTGCTCCAGTTCCCCGAATTAAGCCTGAATGCCTTCCACATCCCCCCCCCCAGGCACTGTATAATCCTCCGGGTTTAGCGCTTCCCCCTTGATTATAATAATAATAATCCTCGGAAAAAGGAAATTCAAATAACTATGGCACTTATGAGCTAAGCAATGTAGATCTTAATGAATGAAAAAAAAAAAAAAAGCTAGGAGTTGTGGTTAGCAGAATTTTAAAGCCACGACGACAATGCATGAGTGTTCGCTATAAAGCTAATAAAAATCTTTGCTTCGTATCAAGAAGTATAAATAATAGAAGTTATAAGGATATATTTCAACTTCATATGCCTTTGGTTGGGCCTCATTTAGATTACGCTGTTCAGCTTTGGTCTCTATATTACAGAGCGAACATAAATGCGCCTGGAAAATATAGAGAGAAGGATGACGAAGTTAATTCCATATATTACAAATCTTTCATACAAAAATATGGTTAAGGCACTGAACTTGTACTCTTTGGAAAGGAGTAGAATTAGGGAAGATATGAAAACGGGAATAAATAAAGGGGAAATAAATAACGTGTTAAAAATATTTAACCAAGACAGGACTCGCAGCAATGGATTCAAGGTGAAATTTAGATTTAGAAAGGATATTGGGAAGTACTGGTTTGGCAATAGAGTCGTATTCATATAAATATTGGTAAACCAGTAGCTTCAATCTACGCCTTCAGGTCTTGTAGACTGTATTCACAAAAAAATATACCTGTGGTTCACCGAGTCCTAGACCTTCGTTGAGTCCCACCATGGGAAATCCCTATACTTTAATCGCAGTTCACACTTCCGTCCTTCCTTTCTCAGAAGGTAGCTACTCTGTTTTCGACTCGCAGTGATTACTTCTGGTTAATATCCAATAACACTGATGTTAATGCAGTATACACTAATAATTTTAATTTCTATACTGAAGGTATGCAGCTGTCTTTACTGGCTATATTTTTCCAACAGCAATTGCCGGTTTATTCAGTATTTTCAGCAGCTCTGGATCGTATAGCCTGATGTGGTACAGTTAGTTTCCCTTTTAAGACTATTTCTCACTCCTGACCCATCACTTACAAGATGGTTGTCTGTGGTAGTGACCAATAAGCTGTTTAAAGTCAAAGTACACTGGCCTTATTTCAAAGTTCTCTATGACTTTTTATCTGTGGTTAATCTGTTCCACTCATTCTGAATAAAACTCATAAAAACATAAGAAGGAAGGAACACTGCAGCAGGCCTGCTGGCCCATGCTTTCTTAAATTTTAGACATACGTATATAAGCTAGTTTAATATTTTTTTTAAATTTCATGTTAAGATAATTTATACAAACTTCCGTAGTTAGTAAAAGTTTTATACATATATAACTAAGCCTCACACTATCACATCTAAAAATAATGATTGTAAATTCTAGGCTTTAATAAAAACATACATTAAGCCAACGTACAATATCACTAGGTTCAATATTTGTAAGCTGAATAACAAACATGCAATTACTGTAGAAGCAGTTTTAACCAACTGATGTTAAATTTATAAATATATACTAATTTTAAGCTTCAGTACAATGTATACTACAATGTAATTGCTCTACCAGAAAACCCTGAAGTTCTGAAATAAATATATAATTTTATGTAATACAGCATTACAGTCTGCTTCATAAATTGTAGTAATGGGTCATCTTATGATTAAAACACGTGTCAGAAAACACTCGTCCTGCTTCCTGATGAATAAAACATCTATTAACACAAGATATATATAAACCGAGGGATGTATATCTCTCAGCGTATATATGCCGAGTTAATTTTAATTAATATTTTTGGGATTAAAGTATTCTCTTGTCTAGTGGTGAAAAAGTTACGCGTACTTTAGTAACCCTAGTATAGTCGATAGGCTTAAATTAAACCCCAACCAGTCAATCATCTATTAGAAGGAGGGCTCTCAGGTATTTATTTAGCTTAATGCAAAAGGCTAAAGCGGTAGCGCCTTCGGCTCGCATCTGAAGGACCCGGGTTCGATCCCTCGAGGGTGGAAACGTTGGGCACATTTCGGTACACCTGTTGCCCTAGTTCACCTGGCAAATAAGTAGGTACTAGTGTGATAGCCGACTGTCGTGGGTCGCATTCTAGGGAGGAAGATCAAAGGACTCCCTTGAAAATAAGCCATACTGACTGACTTTCTTGGGTTATTCTGGGTTACTAACCCTCCGAGTTAATAATCTGAATAAAATAGTATTCTATCCTGGATTAAGTTATACAATTATAAGTATTTTACATTTAGTGTATTCTTCATAATGAATGAAACTACTGATCACAGTGAACATATAGATTCACAATTCGAGAAAGAAAGAATGCAAATTACGTTTCTAAATAACTACGGTATCATCACGAACACTTTATGATGTAATATGACATGTAACCTTCACAGGCCGGGTTCACCTTGAGAGTTCTTGGTTCTTCTATGAAGCTTGGCAGCGCGCCATGTCTCCCTAGAGAACGTAATTTATACTTCCACCATTGCTACTTGCACTTTCTCAGTCAACGCACGGCACATGTTAAATGATATTTACCCGGTTTCATCGGGCGAGATGATTTCTCCCCCGTTAACACAATTACCCATGTAAACACTCAGTGAGACCGGCTCTGAGTCTGCCCTCACTGGAATGTTCAGTCTCTCACTGTGTTGGATTACATTCCAAACACATGGCACATTAGTCAGTGTATTGACAAACTTTGCTCAGGCGCGGTATATGTTCTCATGCATTCCAGCTCAAGTAAATACCACCGTTCGACGTGCTGTATCCTGCTATTATATACATCTGACGATTTAGGTAGACACCTAAAAAATCTAAGCATTTAAGCTTCTCTAGTTTTTGTTAGATATGTCTATCGGCTGTACGAAGTCATAAAGGCTGCATTTCACCTGTACAGTACCAAACAATAATACGGTACTTTAATACCTAAAATAAGGATTAAAGTAAACTCAGTGTACTGTATTTGCACTGATATACACCTATAAGGTGTATATGATCTTAATCGCTGTATTATTTTATTCGTCAGGAATCAGGACAGGTGCCTCTTGACAGTCTTAATCATTTAGATGACCCATTAGTAATTGTAGTTTATTAGGCTTAAGCCTGCAGACTACACACACACACACACACACACACACATACAATTAGTAGCGACCAACGAAGAGGTGGGGCCAGGAGCTGTGAATCGACCCATGCAACCACAAATAGGTCAGTACACACACAGTAGCAACCAATGAAGCGGGGGGACCAGGAGCTATGAATCGACCTTTACAACCACAATTAGGTGAGCGCACGCGCGCACGCACGCACGCACGCACGCACGCACGCACACACACACACACACACAGGTCTAAGGTGTTCTGCTGATCAAGCAATAATAGCGGTTATTGTTATTTACAGTAGGCAAAGTTAGGGTGTATTCTTAAATATTTTTAATGCATCACTGTGAATGAAGCAGACATTTCTTGAACATTTGTAAGTTGTCCCTAAATTCCTGTAATTTTTATATCGATTACACGTGGGTCATAAAAGGATGCAATTCGCCAATACATTACCAATCAAGACTAGTCCCCCAAAAGGCATTAAAGCAGATTTTTCCATGTATGGATATTGAGACATAACCACTCGGTGTATATTCACGTGATCTCTGCATGTTTATGACAACACACCGCCATACTTATATTGATTACAATAACTATAGCTTTCGCGAAAAATAAATAATGTTTGATTGTGTTGTGCTTAGCTTGACCGTTTACTTTAATGGTTTTCATGCACGTATTTTCTTTGTTAAAATATATATACCGTATTATCTACTGTCATGATCTATATGCTATTTAACAAGGTTGGAGCAAGAACTCTTTGTATAGTTAATATAACCATCACACATTATTATTATTATATTATACATCCCATATTCCATACGTCACTTTGACTTTTTGGTTATTCTAGGAAATTTACACATGTTACTATGTAAGGCAATTGTAATCACCTAACTTTGTATAACTGTATTTGTGTACCTGTAGCTAAACAAACCTACTTATCCATCCCGTAGGCGGTAAACAACAACTGAGTTTCACAGGGTAAACTATAGTGAACGTGACAGAAGACATCGGTCATTTTTCTCAGGTCAAGGCATCTAATAAAAAACCAACCAAATCGCGCCTTCTATTAAAAATAAATTAATTAGTAAACCATCGATACTGCATTGATACGTATTAAGGTCAACAGTTATTCACGCTAAAAATAGTATATTATATACAATGTTTAAGAAATAACTCGACATCTTTGCGAAATACACCAATAAAAAACGGAGACTACGTATAAGTAATAATAGTATTTAGCTAATAATACATGGTGCACTATTAAGTACAAGGTGATACGGGTCGAGCTTACAGCGAGGTAACCGGCTAGAAGACCGACAGGACTAATTTTCTGTATCCTGTTTTCGTTCACTTGTTTTTTTCAACACTTGAGGACTGTATAATCAGCACTGTAAAGTCTAGCAAGTAATACCATGGCTAGAAGGGAACTAAGATGTTGTACAATGATAGGGAGACGAGTACCTGGTGTGGTGGTTGTGGGGTCTGGCGACGCTGTGAGATAGACAAGCCTCGACTGCTGCTATATTGAAGACTCTCTCCTTCAAATGCCCTTCCGTCCCCTCACCCTCACTCCAGCGCAAGCGCTCTACACCACACTACACCCGCGCTCTTCAAACTAACTCAACCTGTACCTCAAAACACTGACTACTTACCTATAATATAGCCCGTGAATACATTTCCCTCTCGTGGTATAATATATTAGTGTTTTCGTCAATACGTAACAATAGAGGAAAGCGAATCCTTAAAATGACCTTGTGCTTGACTGAGGGCCGGCTCACCTCCCAGTATTGATCAGTCACTTTCCCCTCGACGCCACAACCTGCCTGACGCCTACGTATTTAGGTTTCAGTGACTACAAACAAGGTTTCGAATAACAATAATGGCGGGAATATATTAAATACACATTACTGTATGCACCATAAAAGGAAAAATGGTGTAGCTTTCTCAAAAAATGGGGGATAATGCCAAACGTATGTCCTGCTCAGGTTCAGAGCTTTCTTTCTATTATAATTATTACTATTATTATTATTATATTATTATTGTTGTTGTTGTTGTTATTCCATTACTTAAAATTATCTTGTAAATACAAAAATTACTAATTATGCCAGCATTACAAGAAACATGGATTTCTTTTTCAGAAATTACAGGTTATAGGTTATAGGGCCACAACTGCAACGTGCTATATAAATAGTGTGATCCATTCAAGATAGGTCCATATAAATCCTACAGAAAAATGGCATATCCCTTTATTGTTAAATATGAGATACCTGAAATTGTATCTACCTATTATATTAACTAAGCAAATTAACCATTACATGAAGTGACTGCAATTTACAAAATGATCAAATAACTAAGGTGTCTGCAATCATACGTTTACATTCAAATATTTGCATCAGATAAATTTACCACTATGTGAAGATATTGTAACCTGTACAATTGCCCAATGACTTCATTGTTAATGACAAAGTACGAAAAACGTTGAGATTGTAAAGATATTATCCGGAGAGAGTTAGCTTCTCTGGTCATGGTGTCCTTCACTCCCTGTAGGTTACAAGGTTAAAGCTAGCTTGCCACGCCTTCAGTAAACCCGGTGCTCCCACTCACGTCCCTTGAAATACTGTTCTTACAAAAATTGAGGGATCGACGCTCTTAGAACCTTGTTCATTATAACTATGATCCACTAACAATATGAAGGAACACTTCAACATTTACATTAAAGCTGTAGGAGCCGGCCCTTACTTTCAATATTTCCCGTCGACGAGTCAACAGCAATCAAATAATGTAATCCTGTATTATCAGGATGTGTCTGCCCTATTATTAATAAAAAAATATATAATCTATATTGTGACATTCATGGGGAAGCGCTAAGCCCATAAGAGCCATACACCGCCTGGGAAAAGAGGCTAATCAGGTTTGATCTGAGAAAGGGTACTGTGATTTCTTAAAACAAGAGTCCTTTACCAGCATCAGGATAGCCATCTTGACAGGGAACATTGTGTGGTACGGTAACCACAGTCCCTCAAATAACCACGGTGAGGGATAAAGGGCATATTTTATTTTGGCACAAGTCACGTGACCACTAGCATACTGAACAGACTCCCCCATTCATTCTCTGTAAATACTACAGCAAAATGGTAGCTTCTTACAAAATGTGACATCTATTAACACAGATATCTCCAGAGAATACTAGGTCAACTTATTGATCCCCCTCTAACATGTATATGACAAATCTCACATGCCCTCATCCTACAATCAAGCAAGACTGGTGTACGTGCGGAAAAAAAAAAAAGCAATCTGAATATTACTTCTCGGCGCAGTCATGAAATAAATAAGATTTTTTATTCAAGTTACTATTTGCAATGAGAAACTGTTTACAAGGACACTACGTACATTATACGTTTTATAACTAAAATATAGGTTAATGAAGCTTTTACACTGTGCAGATTATGTTCTACCTGGAGTATACCTGGAGAGGGTTTCGGGGGTCAACGTCCTCACGGCCCGGTCCATGACCACGCCTTGTATGGTCTGCCCCTGCATAGTGTACTTGGGGAATAATTAAGTTTACAACGTAATCAACTAGCAAAGGGTGTGCCATGTTTGGTAGTAGCTGCAAAAATCGTCACTTAGATATTCAAAATATTTGTTCTAGTTTTAGTAATATGGGAAACTGAAGTCTCAGCCACCTTGATAAAAAAAAAAGGACTATTCGGACTGGTTCATATAAACAGCAGTGAAAAAAAAAACTTTTCTACGGCTAGAACAAAAGCCACAAAACCCTTAAACGCCATCCCATTGTACCCTTCACCAAGGAGTAGACCAAAAAGCTAAGTAAAATCAATGAAACAGCATTCTCATACCCCCAACAAATTAAGATTTTTTTTATCACAAGAATTCAGTACCCTTGGAAACATCAGGAGTCTACAGCATCCCCTGCAACAACTGTTGAAGAATGAGACACTTGTGCAACATTTGGGAATCTTTATTGTGGTAATGTTTCGTCAGCCAGTGGCTTCAGTCCAATACAGAGAAGAATGGTGGAAGATGAGTTTGAGGTAACCAGTCCCTCAGTCTTAAGAAACGTACAGCATATGCACGTAGAAGTGGCTTACATACTGCAGTCAGGAGAGTTGTAGCAGGAGGAGGCAGAGTCACTAGTGGAAAAATCCACTAGTGACTCTGGGGTTATAAAAGAAGTGAGCGCTAGGGTGTCGAGGACAAATGTGGGGTTCAAAGATAGTGAATCTAGGATGGAGGAGGAGTTGTCACAGTTACTTTTTTGCCGATGACATGGTTCTTTTGGGAGTGTCTGAAGAGGAGTTGTAAAGGTTGGCCAATGAATTTGGGAGGGTATGTAAAAGAAGGAAATAAAGACAGCATGAGAAAGAGCAAAATGAGGAGAGTATAAAAAATATAGGCAATGGGAGATTGGAGGGGAGGGAAGGAGGATGGAGAGTGTTAAGATGTTTTGATGATTTGGAGTGAACTTGTCTGTGGATGGTTCTACTGAGAAATAAGATGAACCATAGAAGTGACGAACGGGTAAAAAGGTGGGCGGTGCATTGAGGCGTCCTTGGAGACAAAGAACTTTATCAATAGAGCCAAAAGGGGAATGCACTGGAGTAAAATGGCACCGACACTGTTGTATGGGTGTGAAGCAAGGGTTTTGAATTTTGCAGCGAGGAGGCTGGAGGCAGTGGTGATGCCGTTTTTGCGGGCAGTATGTGGTGTGAATATTCAGAGAGTTTGGAGTTTAGGAGAAAACAATTTCACTGTCACTTAATCCGTCTTGCGGAAGAGCCCCAACATGACAGTTAACATGACCCTCCAAACCACAACATTTCCATCCCTCCTTTAGAGTGCAGACACTGTACTTTCCACCACCAGGACCCAAGTGTGGCTAACCGGTTTCCCTGAATTCCTTCATAAATGTTATCCTGGTCACACTCCAACAGCGTGTTAAATCAAGAAAGTCACTTGCCTCCACTCACTTCTAACATGTTCACACAAGCCTGCTGCATGTTTGAGCCCCTTATCACTCAAAAACCTTTACCTCCTCCCTCAACCTTTACTAGGACGATCCCTAACCCTCCTTCCCTCCACCCTAGATTTATATGCCCTCCTGTTTTTCTCTATCCTCTCTAAATGACCGAACCACCTCAATAACACATCCTCAGCTCTCTGAAAAATACTTAGGTTGACTTTACACTACCACAGTCTCCAAACTCTGAATTCTCTCCATAATATTCACACCAGACATAGCTCTCAAATACATCTTAATGCCTTCAACCTCCTCCTCCCTGCAACAGCGAGAATTTTAGTATCTTGGCAAATTTGCACCTACACAGCCTAAACATATAAGGTTCAATCCTTCTCAAAATATGCATCAGCCATTAAGGATTGAAGCTGTTCAGCCATGCCTTTTCAAGGAATTTCATAAAACACTGCACCACGCTATTTTAAGAATAACTGACAAATTGGAACCTACACACACCACCAACAATCCCAACCCTCTTCTAAATAGGACAGACCAACACTAAAAGCTTGAAGTCGATTAGAAGAGGCTTTCTCGAGTTATTGCACGGCATCCCAAACCGGGAATGGTCTCCACAACAGTGATCAGATGACACCTTGACATGTCAGTAGTTATAAGAAACTTTTCCTGGTTACAGTACATCATGAGCGTTGAAAATCTGAAACCTGTTAGATGAGACGTTCAGTGTTATTAATGAAAACCCGGCAAGAAAAATCAAGCAACCACTATAAGGTATTACCCTTCTGAGTTGCCTAATTACGTACCCTTTCGGAGATATCTAATAATAATAATTATAATAAGACAAGCACAATATGTCGCCCTGTGAAAATTATGACTCCTAAACTAGTACCCAGGAGCACCATGAACTAGTACCCAGGAGCACCATGAACTAGTACCCAGGAGCACCATGAACTAAACTAGTACCCAGGAGCACCATGAACTAAACTAGTACCCAGGAGCACCATGAACTAGTACCCAGGAGCACCATGAACTAGTACCCAGGAGCACCATGAACTAGTACCCAGGAGCACCATGAACTAAACTAGTACCCAGGAGCACCATGAACTAAACTAGTACCCAGGAGCACCATGAACTAAACTAGTACCCAGGAGCACCATGAACTAAACTAGTACCCAGGAGCACCATGAACTAAACTAGTACCCAGGAGCACCATGAACTAAACTAGTACCCAGGAGCACCATGAACTAAACTAGTACCCAGGAGCACCATGAACTAAACTAGTACCCAGGAGCACCATGAACTAAACTAGTACCCAGGAGCACCATGAACTAAACTAGTACCCAGGAGCACCATGAACTAAACTAGTACCCAGGAGCACCATGAACTAAACTAGTACCCAGGAGCACCATGAACTAAACTAGTACCCAGGAGCACCATGAACTAAACTAGTACCCAGGAGCACCATGAACTAAACTAGTACCCAGGAGCACCATGAACTAAACTAGTACCCAGGAGCACCACGAACTAAACTAGTACCCAGGTGCACCACGGACTGAATGCAACCATAATTTAGTTACGAGCCTATATATATAATACATCCGTATGATGCATCTAATGT